CACACACACACACACACACACACAACACAACACATACATATATATATATATATATATATATATTTTTTTTTATCAATTTTATTTAATTTTTAATAATGTCCTAATGTGCATTATACATAACAGAATAGTACATTTCTGTTTAATCGATTTACATTTCAAGAACTCACATTACACAAAAATTAAATATACTTATATAAATATCAGAAAAGAATTCATATATTTAAAAATTTTGAAAGAATTTATGTTTACTAAAAGAAAAGAATAATTTGATATTGTGGTATTATTTGTAACACAAACTTCATAATTGATTATTTAAAATCAATATTAATATATTATAATACTATATATAATGTATTGTAATACTACATATTATATTGTATATTATTTTATAACTATATGTAAAGAATAATATACATATAATCTTATATAAATATCACTATATACATGTAACACTATAATACATGTACATTTCTAAAAAAATATTCAAGGATGTTCTGTCTCACAAAAAAATATACAATTGTATTCATACTTATAAGTGAAATGTCTTTATCTATAAGTATCTGTTATTTATTCAATGACTTAATAGTAATGAATACTATAATATACTATACTAATATTACATTTTATATATAAAAAAAATCAGATACATGTCGTAACTTTTGAAAATGTCTTCTAGGAAGTCCTACAATTGTTAGTATTTTTACAATTTACTATCGAAATAGTACGAATGTGATATTTATAACTTTACCAAGTATTTATATTTAACTAAAATATTTATGTAGTTTATATGCGAATTATTTACTAATACAACTTTACCATATATTATTCATATAGTTTGTGCTTATTATGTGATGATTCCATAATACGTTACATGAATTTATATTAATATGAGCTCTTATAAAAATATAACATTTAAAAATATTACACAATTTACATATACATCTTCATCTATAAGATGTTTATAAATCTATTGTTTTATACATTATTAATAGAGGTAACTTGCTTCTATCTTTCTGAGAGAGTAATCTTCATTATAAATATATGCAAACTTTCTTGCAAATACATTTTGTATACAATATATTCAAATTCTTATATATGACAAATTACAACAAATTTTGTATTATAAAATCAAAGGAATATCTACATTCGATAGAACGGTACTATACATTTATAACAATAGCTTATTTAAAATATTAAGTCTACAAAAATTTAGAGTGACGGTTCCACTTGATGCCTATTAAATTCTAGTATCGTATTTGTATCATTTTGTAATTCGCTGTTAACTGCATCGTTGCAAATACATACCGAATCTGAAAGACTTCCACCTGAAAATAGTATAAATAATTATCATACTTTATTATATAACATGTAAATCCAAACAGACAAAAAATCAGTAAATAATATGTGTATACATATATAGAAATATATAATAACATAAACATTACAAATATATAAATATTAAATATATGCTACCATATTAAAATCACACATTATTTGTTTAAAAAAATTCCCATTTTTGAGGTAATTCCAATTAAATATATATAAACATATATGTTGAAATGATATTATATCATTAAAAAATGATATTATAACATATGTATTTAATTGTACGTGATTAAATAAGTAACATAAAATATAATATAGAGAAAATTCTTATCCTTATATACATAAAATAGAATAAACAGTGGAGTACACACACAACCAATATATATTAATAAAAATAAATAACACACACACACACACACACACACACACACACAAATATATATAGACACAGTATTCTAGCAATTTTTCAAGCATTTATAAAATAAGAAAATGCTAAAATTTCTATCTGTTATTTGATAAAAATATGAATACAGCAACACTATACTGTTATATATAAAATACCAAGCATAAATTATTATATTCAATGCATCTTGTGATTAAATCCCATTTATTGAGTTTTCTATCAATCTAATTATATATTTACAAAACAAATCATATAATTAGATTTTATAAAAATAAAATCATTTATGTATTTTATTTTCATTAACTTAATTTTTTGAAAGCATACATGCAATATGATACCACATAGTACATATATTATACCATCTCCACATAGCATACATCCACAAATATACATAAATTAAAGTCTATTAGTTGTGTCACATTCCACACAGAAATCTATAGGCAAGCTTCATCAGTCTAAAGAGATGATATTATATTATTTCGAAATTAAATTTTAATGTAAATATCTATATAACTTCTTCATTTAATTCAATAAATATATTTAAATATAAATTTTTTAAGTATTAATGATAATTCTAATAAGAGGAATATCAAGCCTGAGCCATATTCTATTCATATTTTATTGTAATGCTATAGAAAATTAATAATTTTATAACGGAAATAAATTCTTATTTTCTTGTAATCGAAAATGATTAAAAATATAAATAATAAAAGATTAATTATCTAATAAATTATATTTTTGATTGACAATATTTTTGATTAACGGACAAAATAAAATCAAAATAATATAAATAAAAAGCTTCATATTCCTAGATTTAAAACTTCTCATGCATTCTTACAAAACATAATTAGAATAAAAAAAAATAATATTTTTAGGAAATATGAATAAAAAATATAACAATTTATAAAACCGTATATAAAACAATAATATGAAATGATAATTGATAATCAATTTAATTATTTAATTATATAAAAGTACAAAAGTTCTTCTTTTTACGATCAATTGACATATATTTCTTAAAAAATTTAATTTTTTTTCCAAAATTTGATATAAATAAAGTAATTAAACATTGAAATTTAAATGTATTGATAAAGAAATTATATATTAATATTATTATCATAAATATCTTACACAAATTTTTTTTTAATTAAAAATACTTATAATAACAATACATAAAATATAAATAAAATATATAAAGCTATAAATAAATAAATTAATAAACAATAATCAAGAAACAATTATAACAATTTAAATATTATTAGTCAACACAAAATTTAATCTAATATTGTATTTTCATAAAAAACAAATTTAATTTAATAAATAAATAATTTAATTAAGTATTTTCTTCTGAAATATATGTCAAATCTTCTTAAAATAAATTTAAATTAACTTGTATATATGCATGTGTGTACAAACACATAACATATATACATAGAGAATAATAAATAAAATATTACAAAATAGAAAATTATTATCACAAAATCAAATTAAATTAATTATTAAATCAAATAAAAAAAAAAAGAATAATGAAATCATGAAAATAAATTATGTACCAGATATACAGCATATTATCAGGGAGGCCCAGTATGATGATCTATAAATGCGTTGATTCAGCTTGCCCATTATTCTTAGTATCTAGATATTTGTCTGCAAGAAAGATGTTTGCATGTTATATAAAAATAACTACATGCACAATCCAAACTAAACCGAATAAAATATACCATATTCTATTTACTATAAATATAGCCCCTTTCTGAAAAATGTTTAAATAATACAATAAACAAAATAAAAATAGATCAATTATTTTATATAAATCTAATATAGATAGATATTTTTTTATACTACATAATATTTTAATAGCGTTTATTGACATGAGTATATTGCAACTCAATTTTATAAAGATTATTGAAAATAAAAATATCCTATTAAAATATTTTTAAATTCAAAATAAAAAATTATCAATTTTTTTATTACTTTGACAATGTTATATATACTTCTTATATAATATTAAAAACCTTATATTAAGAAATTTAATAAAAATAAAGAATATAAAGTTTTTTATATGCCTATAGCAATATATGTGGAATGTTTCAACTATTCTAGTTAAATGACGTTATAAGAAAATAAGTAAACTTAATATACTTTTAAAACAAAATAATCCCAAGATAAATATAAACAAAATAATCCCAAAATATAATTATAAAAAAGCAAATGTTACTATTAGTCAATATTATAATTTATATCATTCAGTCATTTATATATAATTCCGTATAAATCAGTAGTTACTCACACTATATAAATATGAATGAATACATTGATTTATATAACAATTGTATATAAAAAGTTAAATATGAATTAAAGATGAATAAATTAATAAATGATAATAAAAATAATATTTAAAATGTATCATTGATGTACATACAAATATCATATTTTAAAGACTATTTTAATTAAATTATTATATCAATCTTTCCTTTGTATATTCCTTAACACATTAAGCACCATTATTAAATATATCAATATCATAAATGCAAATAAGAAAATTCATAACAAAATTAATAAAATTACTTATCTCTTTCAAAAAACAAATTACTTCTAATATTAAAAGAGATTTGTTGTAAATACATAATAATCTTACTTTTTTAAAAAAATATTTTGCAAAAAAATATATTTTGGTGGAACACAAAATAAAGATTCAAAACTGTACTATACTATAAATATTCATAATTGCATATAAAACAATTGATCATAGTAAAAAATAAGTATAAAAAGTTTTGAATTTTAACAAGTTAAGCGCCACGAAAAGGATATACAAAAAAAATATATAAAATTTTTAAAAAATATAAGAATATGAAGTTATATTTAGCCCTTAATGTTTCAAGAAAAGTTAATATTGTAATACAAAATAAAGATATTTTTCTAAATATATAAAAAGATAATCTCTTCATAATTTTATTAATTAATAGAATATGTAGATGTAGAATATGTAAAGTATATTAATAAAAACAATTATTTTTCCAATTATTCTACTAATCTTATAAAATATTTCACATTTTAAAATATTTTACTTTGTTGTATTTAATATTTGAAACTTTTATATTATATCTTTTATATCATATCTACATATCTTTTGTTTATATTATGATATATTTTTCAATACATGAAAAATTTTTGACGCTTAACATGTTAAACCATAATTACAGGAAGAAGGTATACTACCTTCTTTTTGATCCCGAAACTTGTGCTTGTAAGTCCAAAGTTGAGAACAATTCATGCACTGTGCAAAAACAGAATGTTTAGTAGGATTGTAAATTTTTATTTCATATTCCAACCAGACTTAAATTACAGGAATAATATACATGTTATGTATGTTAATTTATTAATATATCATAATTATAAAACTATTAATAAAAATATATTTATTAATATATTTTTATTAATAGATCTCAATCATTTTTTTATTAATTTCGATATGTGTATTGCACTTACGAAATAATGTGTGAGCACTATCATGATACTTAATTGTAGTATATATTTAATTTAGATATATATACAATTTATTTATATGTAATTTATATATATGTAATGATTAAATACACTAAATACACAAAAAATTATTCTTGCAAAAATCATATTTATACTTGTGCTAACGTATCCCATAACATAAACTTATAGCAAGATTATTCATAACAATTAGTATATATATTTCAAACATCAAGCTATAGTAACGGTTAGTAACAGTTTCAATTGTGAACATGCAAACACAGTGCGTTGCCTAATATGAATTTTGTTCTAGTATTAGTAACATGTTTACTTACCCGCGATAGCAAGGTCAACCAATGCCTTATCTTTCTGTATATGCAATGCTGTCAAGAAGAAGAACAGTGCACCAATTACTTCTACGAACATGGTAAGGAACATTGCATATTGCAGACTACGAAACTCAATAGTTATATGTTGAATGTCATGAACATTAGATTGTGCTCCTATAGTTAAATCTGACAAGAACATGAACTTTAATCCTTCTGATATCTAAAACAAAAATAAGTATTATTTGCAATATTAGTAGCAAATTTATTTTTACTTACAAGTCCAATAAGATAAGGGCTGCCTGCATCTCCAAGAGCATGTGCAATAAGTATTTGGAATGCTTCTGCTGTAGATCTTCTTGTTGGTATTACTACATACTGCAACATAATAACAAATTAAATTCATTGAAATATAAATAATTAGAGGGAGAAATATATTTATAATTACCAGTAACATATCTGCCACAATAGCCCAATTCAAATTTAATGATAATTGACCAAAGAATATTAATGTATAACAGAGAGCAGGATTTGTATTGGCAGTAATCATAGCAAAAAACAATAAAGGAGCGCTTATTAAAAGACCTATAGCGCATATTAGAGGATCAGCTTGTTGCCAATAAACTCGTAATTTTTGTGCTATAGCAGAGCCTAAAGGTACACCTATTAGACCAGATGCCATACCAATTAATCCAAATTTATATGCAACACTAAAATATCAAAATAACAATTATATAATTATATATTTTTATAGTATAATAATACAATATATTAAAAGACATACTCATCTGGGTCAACGTTTGCTCCATTAGGAAGTAATTGGAAACCTAATTGTAAGTATGTTGGTGCCCACCAAGCCAGAGCACCAGTGACAAATGCCACGCAAGTAAATCCTGCAGTAGATAGCATAAAACTCGGACTGAAAATCATATCAATAAGAAATGTGATATTAACAAAGAATTACAAGACAAACATAATAATAAAGTTTATGTTCACCTGAAGTAGTAATAAAATAATATATAAGACTATAAATCATTGCTATAAATATTAAGAAATAAAAGATTAATATAAATCGTACATAACTTATTATGTATATTATGTAATAATATGTATGTAATAATTTTAATAGCAAAAATATAATTGATAATTACTTTTTTGATAATTCCTTGATATCATATGTCCATGTCGTACTAATCAAATGAGCACCTCCTTCTCGTTCGCCTCTAATGGGATCTCTTACTACAGTAAGTAGCAGAATAATTGCTACAATACCTAATATAGGTGTAATACGTAATCCCCATGACCAGTGACCAGTGACACGAGCTGTTTCACCACCAGTAATATATCCTAAACCACTAAAATAAAAAAATATGTATAAAATAAGTAATATGTAATATAAAATATAAATATATAAAATATGTATAATATATTATAGTATATAAAACATATATAATATATTACAAAATTATACATCTTAATCACACAAAGTATGAGCAATGTACCTTCCAACTGGAATTGCAAAGTAAAATAAGGCAAGCATCTTAGAACGTATATCCTTTACAAATAAATCACTGATAATTGTTGGCGCAATTGTAGAATAACTAGCTTCTCCTATACCAACAAGTGCCCTAAAGAATAAGAACCATCCAAATGTCTGAAATAAAGATTTGCATATATTATATATACTTTACTAAACAACCAAACTGAATATCTTAATATTTTTCCTTCCTTAATAGCTAAATACATTCTTTACTGCAGAAAAGACTGAGTTAACATATCAAGATGCTCAGCATCCTCTTGTCAACTTTAAATAATAAAAAAAAATATTTATAAAATTAAAATTTGCTAGGTGGATATCAGGCATATATTGACAATTAAAGTAGATCTATTTGGATCATAGACAGTAAATATAGTAATATAAAATTCTTATCTTTAAGAATTTTATCTTTTAATCTTCATACATTTACTTTAGATATATTCTATATTGAAAATAAAAAAGTAACTCTATAGAAGAAATCATACTTTCATATAAGAACCAATAAATGTTGTTAGGCACCACAGAAATACACCGCCACTCATAATAAATTTTCTATTGTAACGATCTCCTAAATATCCAAATAATGGTGCAAACACCATGTAACTCAGGATGAACGCTGTCTGCAGTAATCCAGACTTATCATTACCAATATCAAAGTCGTGCTGAATATCTGACAGTATACCTAAAATAAAAAAATTAATCTCTATACATGTAAATATGTTGGGAAAAATAACGTTATTTAACAAAATCATTTGCGATATTCCACTGATTGAAAAAAACACAAAGAATTTCTCAAAAATCTGTTACATCACTAATCTGTTTTGTAAAGCGAAAAATGATTTTTTTTTACCGGCGATCGTAAAACGATCCATATAATTTATGAGATTCACGAAGCAGAGGATCGCGACTGTGATCCAGTCGGACGCGCTGATCGACCTCAACTCCGAAGGCATCGTGGCTTTCACGCGCGTCTCCTCCAAGTCGTCCTGATCCACATTTACCGCACGATATTCATTCTCCGTATTGACGGGCGCACGATTGTCTACCATGGCGCGAAAAGTTTCTCGGCACTCCCGTTGTCAATCGTGTCACGCTGTATGGAATAATGTAATTCATAAATTTACAAAATTATTATCAATCGAGCTACCTGATTTGAGCTATGGGACATAACCTCAAAAACTGCTGACTTACCTCGCCGCGCGATGACAAAAAACTGTTTACGAACATCTTCGAGTGTCACGCTACGCGCATCACACCATCTCTGATTGAACTCCAAAGTGAGTAAAAGTGGGATCGTGAAGCAATCAAGAACACACGCGTGTGTACACGTACGTGTGCATATACATACGTGAGTACGTATAATACATCAGGCGCGCGCCAAATATTCCGTTCTCGCGCATAAAAAAACGTGAAATGCGTCAGACATCTGCGGATGCCGTCATAGCGAATCTCGGCACACGGTGTATTATTATGCTACATCGCACGAGTTTGCCAGATATAAACAGCGTGGATCAAACGCGAGATCGATTGAACTTGATCTCCGCTAGTTGACTCTCGGCGTGGCAAGCACAAGCGTGAATTTAATTAATCCCCGCAAATTCACCCTTGGACTCGTCGGATTGGCACATTCGCGATGCTTGCTTCGCTTTCAGGTCGAGAATATCGTTTATTTGTCAAATCACTAATTGCTGATCAATCCCGATTTACAGCGCACAGCGCCCCGCTGCGATTTGGACGTCGCGAGAGGCAAGCGAGGTGAATTCACCGCAATCGCGAAGGAGGAAGATAAGAAACGTCGAGCTGCGAAGGAGCGAGGAATGCGGGGACTCGGCGAGGAAGAAGCTTGTTGACCCGCATTTAATCACATTTGACCTGCGATTGCATTGCACCTCGGCAGATGCATGTGCGTCACGTTTACCTGAGCCTCGGATCACTTATTCGCAGTCCGCTGGTATTATCGATAAAAAAGAAAAATACCTCATTTGTAAAACAATACAAGTAACTGAGTACTTTTAACGATGATCTGTACACGAAAAACGTAATTCGAAATAGAACGGTTAATTCAGCGTGAGATAAACTTGATGATACGTAGGCGTCAATTTAGATCATGATGTAGGTTATACATAAATTACTGTCACACGTCTCGCGTATATAATTGTCTTATTAGGGAAGCATGCCTCAGAAGAAGAACCTCTTCTAGAAATTGTCCTCCCAATACAATTCTGTGAAGTATATATGCATAGATATTTTTTTATCACTGCACTGAACCATACTAAAACTTTCTTTTTTCACTCTTATCAAATTTCAAACATCTATTTTATTTTAAGTATAATTTTAAGTATAACAAGTACACATTAGTTCATAAAAAACAGTTCATAAAAAAATCTAATGATGTATTCGGTTCATCCAAGAAGATAGCTTTAAATTTTGATGCTGCATCAAAATCAATTATACATTCAAGTCATTCAAGTTTTTTCTTACTGGGAATGTAAGCAGCTTAGCAAGTTTCTTGCATTGTTTCTTGCAATGATAAATTTGTTATTTACATTTGTGTATCTTATTGTTTATTCATAGAATTAATATCTTTGTAAACAATGGATAACTCTCCATTGCGGAAAGTAGAACTGCAAACAGATGTCTATATGGTATGTTTGCAACATGCCTTATCCACTGAGAACTTCGAAGTAATGGGTTTACTCATTGGCAATGTATATGAAGCTTTTACTATTTTGTGATTTATTTCTTATATAATTTGTAAGACAATCAAAATATTAATTATTTTCTAGTTTGCTTGTGGGGTAGCAAAAATATCAGCTGTTATTATTTTACGTCGTCTAGACAAAAAGAAAGACAGAGTAGAAATTTCATCGGAGCAATTATTGAAAGCTGCCGCCGAAGCCGAGCGATTAACGACAGAATTAAATCAACCTATGCGTGTTCTTGGCTGGTATCATTCACATCCACATATTACAGTTTGCCCATCACACGTTGGTATGTACCAAGAATATTTCTGGTCAAAATATTTGAGTAATACAATGTTTCTTTTAAAGTTTTGCTTTAAATTATTTTTATTTTGCAGATGTCAGAACTCAAGCTACCTATCAGACAATGGATCACAGTTTCGTAGGCTTAATATTCTCAGTATTTTCAGAAGGAAAAGAATCAAAAGTATGTATATTTTATCTTAATTTGTAAATGCATTAACAAATGAAGTACAATCATTGAAAAAAAATGATCTAAAAAAATATATGATCGATCAAAAATATCTAATTTTTAATAATAAATTAATATTATAAATAATTTAAAACTTCCAAAATATAATTAATGTAACAAATGAAATATTTAAAGTTGTTAACGTAGATATAATAAATGATGTAATATATAAGATGATCTTTGTAAGAACATGATTCTCTATAGGAACATGAAATCTTCTTGAATTGTTTCCAATCAGATAATGGTGAAGCTACAGAGATACCATTAGAGATAGTACATACCCCAGAAATTTCAGACAGATGTTTAAGAGTAAGATTTTAATTTTTTGTATTATAAAAAATTAGATGAAGAAAGATTGTTTATTTAAAATGAAATAATATTATAGACAATGATAGACCTATCAAAAATTTTGGTACAAGAAGAGGAAGATATGGCTGAAGCTTGTAAAGATCATCCAGATATCCTCGCTAGTATTCATAATAATGCTGGTAAATATATCAATGTTTATTTTAGTGTGTGCATTTTGATCAATAATTTATTTTACTATCTTTCAGCTAATATCTGGTAAACATAACATTCATGAATATAAATTATTTTTATTTGCAGTAAGGACACGTGCATTAGTTCATATAACAGATATCATTACAAAACCTTTGGTACAAACATTTGAAAAAAGAATAGCATTAAACAAATTGCGTAGCATGCATCTCCGGAGACAACTACAAGAATTACAAAAAGTATATAATGGATAAAAACCTTTTCAGAGTCATTAATTATAATTTGTGAACAATTAATTTTTTAATAATTACATAATAAAAATAAGTTTATAATAAATAAAAATATATAAATATTTACTGAACTGAAATTGATTATATGTCGTCAGTCCTGCAACTTTTTCATTATAATTATACACATACATACGTATAGTTGTTTCTATACAATTATCGATTTGCTTGATAAAATTGACAATTTAAAATGCAAATTACATTTTGATAATCATTATAAGAAAAACTCGCTTGAATTTATTACTCTTTTATTATTCTTATTACAAAATGAACAAAGAGAAACCAGTCAGTATTGCAGAGAAAAGACAAACCTCTTACGCAATTTTTCCAAGAAAACATAAATTATAATTAAACATACACTAGTATAAAATAAAGATCTTTATTTCTAAACACACAAAGATTCAACACTTCACAATTTATTTTATGTTAATAATCTTAGCATTGTTTGTCTATTCATTAAACATACAGATCATTGAACCATTGTACAGCATATATATATATATATATATATATATATATATAATAATATGTGTATATTTATTTTTACTTTCTTACTAC